ATTTATTAGTAGTTTAGTTTGTTTGTGTGTTATTTTATTTTGTTTAGCTTTGTTTTGTTTATTTGTGCTAGTCTACATTTGTAGTAATGAAGGTAGGTTACGTTAGAAAGTTTTGTTTTTGGCAGTATTGGTTAGTTTGTATTTGATGTTATCATGGGCGATTAGTACATGTTATCATTTATTTGTTTGTTTGTGTGTGTAGCATTGTGGGACATGTCAGTAAATAAGTAAGAGAGTAGTTGTAGATAACTGTGTCGTTAAACAGTTGATAATTATATTGATTATCAATGTATCTTTGGTTGTTTTTAACAAAGACTTGTGGAATCTATCAATATATACATGTAGGTTGAGTGGTGTAGGTTTTAATGTTGTTACCATCGTTGATGAGTAGTTATTGTGAGTGAGTGATTGGGTATTTAAGTAACAAACTCACTAACTAACAAACAAACTAGGTATATTTGTGATGCAGTTGAATCGTTGAGTTTATTTGATTTTGGATGCCAATGTTATAGATGTAGGTATATGCAATGACAAAGGCACATTGAACAAGGCTATAATCATAGAGTAGAGTAGTGATGTATTTAATTATTGTGTGACTGTGGGGAAAATAGGTAGGGTAGGTTTGTTGCGTTTGCTATTGTGTGTAGGTTGTGCACACATGTGTTGACTGACAGACTGACTGACTAACAAACTAATTTGTATAGCTTGGAGTTATTGCATAATTATGTATGTTTGTTTGTGTTGCGCATGTCTGTGTATGTGTGTCTATGTGTCTGTCTGTCTCTCTCTATGTGTATGTGTCTGTGTGTGTATGTATGTATGTATGTATGTATGTATGTATGTATGTATGTCTGTCTGTTTGTGTTGCGCATGTCTGTGTATGTGTGTCTCTATGTGTGTGTGTCTATGTGTCTGTCTGTCTCTCTCTATGTGTATGTGTCTGTGTGTGTATGTATGTATGTATGTCTGTCTGTTTGTGATGCGCATGTGTGTGTCTCTATGTCTATGTCTATGTCTGTCTCTATGTCTATGTGTGTGTCTATGTCTATGTCTATGTCTATGTGTGTGTGCGTGCGTGTGCGTGTGTGTCTATGTCTGTTTGTGTATGTTTGTGTTGTGTATGCGTGTATGTCTGTCTATGTGTCTATATGATTGATTGTCTGTGTGTGTGTGTGTGTGAGATTTGTTGTTTGTGTGTTTTTCTGCTCCCCATACAAAAGTAACAGACAGACACAGGAGGAGGAGGAGGAGGAGGAGGAAGAAGAACAAGAAGAGAGTGTGTGAATATTCAAAGAGGGTTGTTATTACCAAAAGGCTACTTACTTGGTCATTTCATTAGTGCAATGTTGGGAACTAAACTAGGCTCAAACTAGATTTGCTAAAGTTTGCCATGTAACAACAAGAAGAAGAAGAAGAAGAGTGTGTAGTTTTCTTTTATGCACGACATCTAACGGCAAACTTTGATATCTGCCGGGTAAACACACGAGGGTGGTTGGTTGTGTATTGAGGAGGAGGAGGAGGAGGAGGAGGAGGAGGAGGAGGATTGAGTTACGTGTCATTGTCACTCACTACAAAATTGAGCGCACTAACTAACTAACTCACTAACTAAGTAAATAACTCGTTGTGGGGATGAGTAAAACACAGAGTCTGTTATATATATTCTTTGACCAGTCAGTCAGTCAGTCAGTCAGTCAATGAGAAGGAGTTCTTGTGCCATATCAACAGAGAGAGGGAGAGGGAGAGGGACAGAGAGGGGGGGGGGGGGGGGGGGGGGGGGGAGAGAGAGAGCGAGAAACGACAGGAAGGAAGGAAGGAAGGAAGGAAGGAAGGAAGGAAGGAAGGAACAAAGTTTAACGGACACAGAACACACGATGAAAACAAAATCACATACAAACATGTAAAGGAAGGAGAAAAAAGATACACAACAACAACAACACTTTATTAACAACTATCTATCTCGATGTCAAAGTCCATTTCAAAAACACACACATACACACGCATTCACTCACCTACAGACTCACTCACACAGAAACAACAGAAACAGCCTTCTACAAGAGGAGGGGGGGGGGGGGGGACAGACACAGAAACACGCACTATCGCACTCACCCCAAACTAAAGCACAACCAACAAACAAGCAAATCAACAAAAAACACAAAAATCAGACACAGTCCATTCACAAAAACACTCAAAAAACACACTTTTACAATTTCACTAACCCAAAAAAAAATACACACATATATTAACATCTCATCTCCACTCCAATCCATTTCATTTCATAATACTTTACTTTGCTCTTGCCTTGGGGAGACCTACGCACCCAGACCTCGGACAATGCCACAGAAAAATGGACTCTATGCACACTATCACACTAAAAAATCACAATGAACACACAGATATGGCGTTAACTCACTTTAGAAACAATCAATCAGACGCCTAGCCAACTAACTGCTTTGCCCCCTCGTTTTGCAAGACGAGTTTTAACAACGAGACAGATCAAAGT